ATGATTTCTAAGAAATTACTGATATTGGATTTATTGACCTCGGGTCCGTATTTTGGTTCTGGAGCCCGGTATAGGTCCATTGTAATATTTATGACTTGTCTGCCGAATTTGGCGAGAATCGGAGTTGATTTGACATGATTCGGACGTCCTGTTGTAAAAATATAAGTTTTAAAATTTTCTTGAAAACTTCCTTTGATTTGGTGTCCGATTCGTAGTTCTAGGTGTTATTTTGGCAATTCGATCGCGCGAGCAAGTTCGTATGATGTTTTAGAACTTGTGTGCATGTTTGGTTTGGAGCCCCGAGGGCTCAGGTGAGTTCCGGATAGGCTACGGAATATTTTGGACTTTGAAAATCTAGTATTTTGCTGCAGCAGGTGTTCTGGCATGTTTTTCTTCGCGTTCGCGAAGGTACTCTCGCAAACGCGAAGAGTAAACTAGGCAGTTGGATCTTTCTTCTTCGCGAACGTGAAGGCTTGGTCGCGTACGCGAAGCGATGGGGGCATTACCCTTCGCGAACGCGTAGTGTTAGGCACACCTGGGGGAGGGTCGATCATTCCTTCAGTGTGAACGCGAGCTATGCCTCGCAAACGCGAAGCCGGGGGGGGACCTTCGCGAATGCAAAAGCCATGGGCTGCTACTCATCGCGAACGCGACAGGTCCTTCGCGAACGTGGAGAAGGCCTGACCCCTGTGACTTAAAACAGAACCAAAAACGGGATTTTTTCCATTTTTCACAAACCCTCAATTATAACTCGGCTTAGGGGCGATTTCAAAGGAGTTTTTCACGATTTCGGACTGGGTAAGTGTTCTTTATCATATAGTGATTTTATTTCACAAATTCATGTCTATATTCATCATTTATTTCGGATTTGGATGGAAGAAATTGGAATTTTTGTAAAATTTTCCAAAAATGAAAAATTAAGATTTGAAGGTCCATTTGATATCGGAATTAGACAAATTTGGTATGGTTGAACTCATATCGGAACGAATGTTCGGATTTCATAAGTTTTTCTGGGATTTGAGATGTGGGTCCCACTGCCGAATATTTTAATGAATTTCGGATTTTTATCCGAAAAATTTATAAATTCATATGGAATTAATTCCTATGATTAGTATTGAATATATTGAATTATTTGTAAATAGATTTGAAGCTTTAGGAGGCAAATTTAAAAGGAAAAGCTGTGGTTGAATAATTGATTGGAATTTGCAAAGCGAGGTAAGTGTCGGGGTTAACCTTGACTTGAGGGAATAGAACCCTTAAATTGTTTGTTATGTGAATTGCATGTAAACGATGTATAGGCGAGGTGACGAGTGCCTATACGTCGTCAAATTAATTGTTTGCCTGCTTACTTGAAAAATCATAAATTATTTTTAATCATAAATTAATTATTATAATAATTATTTCTCTCTTATTCTTTGCAAATATAAGTTCTTGAATTCCTGCATTAATTATTACATGCTATTTGAATTATGTGCCTTAATTGTTATTTGACATTTAACATAATAAATATTAAACTGCCTATTTGCTCCCTGATTTTCATAATAATTTGCTATTTGTCATTGTTTGCTTCATAATTAAACCATAATTATTGTATGCTTGTTGTCTTGTAATTTTATATTAATTGTTACATTTATTGGGAAAATTTCTTCTATAAGAATTGGTAAATGAAAATATTGGAGGAGCGGGTTGCACGCCGCAACATGATTGATTATAATGAATATATTGGAGGATCGGGTTGCACGCCGCAACATACATACTAAAAGTCAATATTGAAGGATCGGGTTGCACGCCGCAACAGACTTGTTAAAAAGTTAATATTGGAGGATCGGGTTGCACGCCGCAACAGACTTGATTAAAATGAATATGTTGGAGGAGCAGGTTGCACGCCGCAACAGAACTGAATGTGAATATATTGTGATAGCGGGTTGCACGATGCAACAGAATTGGTTGAAATAATAACGAATTATGACTGCTGGGTTGGTTTCAATTATTATAAATGAGTTACCTGATTTATTTATATTATTTGTTGTTATTATCAATATTGCGTACAGGTTAATGTAAGTGAACCGCCTTAGCCTCGTCACTACTTCGTTGAGGTTAGGCTCAGCACTTATCAGTACATGGGGTCGGTTGTACTGATACTATACTCTGCACTTCTTGTGTAGATTTTGGAGTTGGTCCCAGCGGCGTACCATAGACTTGCTCGGATTTCAGCTATCAGAGGAGACTTGAGGTATAACTGCATGGCGTTCGCAGTTCTGAAGTCCCCGTCTATTGTACTTTAGCTGTGTGTTTATTTTTAGACAGCTTTATTTTATTCAGACCTTTATTTGTATTTATTCTAGAAGCTCGTGCACTTGTGACACCAATTCTGGGATGGTATTTAGACACCGTTATTATTATGGATTATTTCAAAATTGCTTCTGCATTTGCTTCCTTGTTATTAATAAATTTAAAGATTATTTTAAAAATGGTTAATATTATTCTAACGTTGGCTTACCTAGCAAGTGAAATGTTAGGTGCCATAACGGTCCGAAGATGGGAAATTAGGGTCGTGACAGTATAAATTGTACCTTATTTCACTGTATTTGGTTCCTAAAATAAACTCATTTTCTCATTTGATTCCCTAATTTATCCAAGATTGTTATTATGCCTTATTGTATATAAATAAATCTCTCAAATATTTTATTTAGCATTTGACACGGATACAATATACATGGTAGCACGTGGACTTTGCCATGCGAAAGTGATCTAGAAAAATATAGGCACAAAATGTCATCCGTGTAAGATTTGGAAGTTGTTACTTATGATTTGAGATTAAGAGGAGTAGTACTTTGGGTAATTCCTGTTGTAATGCGTGCATTAGGAAAGATTTTATTAATTGAGTTGTCATCGGTTTTCTTTACTTGGGCTCATTCATATTTCATTTGTATTCTAACTATGTTGTATCTTTATTACCTGGTTATTTCCTATTGCTATTTGTACTTCTATTATTTCAACCGTTGGCTATAAATTTGTGATCCTTCTGCTGTTGGTTTTACATTAATGTTCTCTCCATTGTTAGCTTTACATTATATCCTGCACAGACTTACATGTCTGGTAGGTGTCTTGACCTGGCCTCGTCACTACTCTATCGAGATAAAGTTTGATATTTACTGGGTACCGATGTGGTGTACTCATGCTACGCTTCTGCATATTTTTGTACAGATCCAGGTACTTCTGATCGAGTTGGTTTTTAGACTATTATCTGTGTGGCTGGAGACTTCAAGGTATAGCTGCTCGACGTTCGCGAGCCCCGAAGTCACCTTCTTGTCTTTTATTTCCACTGTTCTATTATTTTGTAATAATGATGTACTTGGTATTCCTAATTGTCCTTAGAGAAGCTTATGACTTGTACTACCTTTTGGGGAATTGTATGATCGATGTTGGCTCAACTATATTGTATCCGTTATTATTTAACGTATTGCAGTTAAGTAGTTAAATTTCAGTTATAATCAGCATATGTTAGGCTTACCTAATCTTAGAGAATATGTGTCATCACGACATTCTAATGTGGAAAATTGGGGTCGTGAAAGTTGGGAAAAATAGTCATCTTCTCTTCAATATTAACATGCCTTCAGCCCTTCACAAGAAATTCTTCACTGCCATTAAAAATCAAATCAAATTTTATTTTTCATAGTCATTTATATACCTTTCATGACAGCTAGCGTAGCTTGAAAAAATACTTCTATATTATCATCTAATAATCACATATAACGTTTCTCATACATAATTGTATAATATACTACTAGATATTGGATTTCGAAATTTCTCAATCAAAGCCTCTTACCTCTCCATCTATTACATAGGAGCAATTCCGTGTGACAACTAAAATATAATGTTTACCTTTAGGTGTGAAATACATAATATTGTAAATGTATTTTAGAACTAATCTCAGAAATCGAAACAACGATAAAAAATAATGAATTTAAGAATATGAAAAAATAGAGAGGAAAAAAAAAAGATGTTATCTAACAAAAAATTGAATACTAATTAAAATCACGCATCAAAGTAATAAAAAATATACGATGGCGAGTGGTTAAAGCAAAAATAAAGAGAAAGAAGATACGTATGTGATGTAATGGAGTTTCCTTTCTTTCTTCTTTATGAAAAGCAATTAGTTCCCATATCTCATATATACAAGAGAAGAATTGGAATTGGAAGTTCAAAAAGCTCGGTCTTTGCGGGTGGGATTAATAATCCAAAATTTTAGAAATCTCTATATAGTTCAAAAAAGAAAATATTTAGTAATTAATATTTTAGTTAATTTCAGAATCCAAAATATTAGGAACATAACTTAAATTATTATTTTATCCAGTGTAAAATTTATTTTAAGGGTAAAAAAAACAAACAATATTTCGTTAAAAATATTCGTGCTTTTAATATAGTATAAATATAGATATAAATAGATAGACACACTGAACCCTTTGGGGTTGCCCAGTTAGTTTGGAGGGTGGCCATCCATATGGATGACCTGGGATCGAATTCCCCCTCAATGTCTTCTGGGTTAAGCCTGTCGCACAGGGCTTGCCTAGTGCAGTTTACATCCTTGTGTGATTTACAGGCTATTACACTGGGGAGGTTTACCCAGTGCACACAAATTGCTCACCACAGAATGTTCACCCGAAGGACATATGCTGTAGCAGATATTGTAACGGCTGCGAGTTTCCTCTCTTTAAAAAAAAAAAAAAGGAGAGATAGAGACACTTATCCACCATCAGAAATGTTGTAATACAACTTTCCAGAAAATAAAGAATATACTATGAAATAAATGTGTTCATGAAAGTGTTTTAAATTTATATATTCCCTTTGGATAGTTTAATTGTTACCATATCTTTATGTTTATAATTGTTATATAGTGTTTTCCTTCTGTACTCGAGCATTTACTTAGAAGCGAAGATAAGTTGGACGCGTATGATACGCGCACGGCAATACCTATAACAACACTGGAAAAGATCACAAAAATAAAAAGTACGTAAAGGGTTTCTTGGAATCTGCTAGAGCTTAGTCCTCGTTGTCTCCACTTTGACTTGCCCTATAAAACCCACAAATATTACTGTACCCCAGTCATCTTTCTGCCTAAGGAAAAACTCCCAATTTCACAATCTCTCTCGAGTCTAGATCCAAGCCCCAAAGAATTCAATCATGAGTTACTACAATCAACAACAACCCCCTGTTGGTGTCCCTCCCCCGCAAGGTAAAATTCTTATTATTATTATTATTATTATTATTATTATTATTATTATTATTATTTTGATGATTTTTTGGACAAGTTCAGTATGATATTAGTTGGTTTTCTGATTAGATCTGATGGATTTTAGGGTTTGGTTTTTGATTATTGGATGTGTAAATAGGATATCCACCGGAAGGTTACCCTAAGGACGCATACCCACCACCGGGGTACCCACAACAGGGTTACCCACCACAGGGGTACCCTCAACAAGGTTACCCTCCTCAAGGGTACCCTCCCCAGTATGGTGCTCCACCCCCTCAACAACAACAGCAACAATCTGGTAGCACTGGCTTCATGGAAGGATGGTATGCACTCTAATCGTCAATTCTCTTTACCNCGGAGATGAAATGGGTTGTAATTTAGACTCATGAAGATTTTAGAGACGGCCTGGTATTTTTTTCTGTTTAAAACAAGTTGTAGAAGTGATTTTGAGTGGAAAATATGTGTGAAAGAAGATGAAACATGTGGGAGGGTTTCGAGCTTTTCATAAACTTAGATTAGAGATGCAATTGACACTCGAATTCAGGGTAACTTTTTTATTTTTATTTTTAGCTAATTTGATTAGAGTTTGCTCCAATTCTTGGGATGTAATCTTTGAAAAACAGCTGACACCCTTCACAAGTTGGTCTGTAGAGCCACGATTGCTGAAAAGGGAAAGTTGTATAGTGTAAGGTTTTTGGATGGACGGATGAGGAGAAGGGAGGGGTGGGGTTTTGGGACTAATTAATCTTAAAAATAAAGAATATATATAAAATTTTGACATGTAGTAGCACTTAAACAAGGATTGGGATATTCTTTTTAAAGGGTTCACTCACTTTATCTTTTTGGTTACACGCTCTTTATCTTTTTGGTTACACGCGCCCTGCCGTGCAGTCGACGTGGTGTATCTTAGGCACACTTTGGAAAGATTGAGTGTGTAAGGTAATTTTCTTCCGCATAAAGTGTGATTTGGTCCATATTTCAGGTGGTAATTTATGCATTTTGCTTAAATATTTGTATTATCAAAAATAATTTACTATAGATAAGATGTATGTATTGTTCTAGTGATGAATTGTGTCCTCAAACCCACCTAGTTGGGGTCCGAATTATCTGTACACCTTACAGATCTAAGGTAGGCAGTCTTTAATTTATCATAATCCTATTTCTACGTTTGGACTGGGGTCCAACTATGCGCTGAGTTAAATGTGTTTCACATCTCAAGAGTTTAATGTGGATACTGTTAGTCATTTGGAGTTCAAGCTTAAGGGGGCAAATCTCGTGATTTGGACTCCAAATGACTGACATTATCTCAAGAACTCCAAATGACTGACATTATCTCAAGAACTCCAAATGACTGACATTTTCTCGAGAGTTTAATGTGGCTAATGTCAGTCCATAACATTATCCACATTAAGCTTTCCTATGTTGAAGTTATGTGTCATATAAAAGGTGGAAATCTTCTGGTTTTTGCTATTTATGCTTGCTTTTTAGTTAGATGATAGGAGGTAAAAAATTGCTGGAATTGTGAAAGGGCGTAAAAGTCAATCCAAGAGTTTTGTTGAATGTATTTCCATGTTTCAAATGTTAAGTTTATGATTGCAATAACTTCATTGTACACTTATAAGTTTTTCATGTATATATATTGTTATGTGTCTTCATTTCGCTTATGCATGTTTATACTGCTTGTCTATCTATTTGCTGTCTCTCACGATACTGATATTATTTTTCTAGTTTCTGTTGTTGTTCGGATCTATTGTCTCTTTTCATTTTCTCGAGCGGTCTTTCGGAAACAGCCTATCTACTACCCCTCCGGGGTGGGTATGGTCTGCGTATACTCTAACCTCAGACCCTATTAGTGAGATTTTACTCGGTTGTTGTTTGTTATGTTTATACACACCTGGTCTTGCCAATTTTATGGCAGATTACTAATAGTGGCTGTTATGTTTTTACAGTTTGGCTGCACTGTGCTGTTGCTGTCTCCTAGATGCATGCTTCTGATGATGGGTTGGCGGCAGAAATTGATGCAACCAGTATGGTTTTGTGAGGCGGCCTCATCTATATGGATTATTAATCTAGATTTTTTTTTCTTTCTTCTGTTTTGTCCTTGCTGTCTTGTCCTCGATCTCGATAAATAATTGGATATTCAATATGACGATGCACCTTTAATGTGGTGAAGAGTTCAAATGTCTATTTCCCCAATTATAGGTTATGTACATTGTGTGAGATTCTATCTTGTTTATGTTTTGGACCTCAACTATGTGAGTGCACCTTGATTTATTTAAGAATTTAATTCTTCAAGTGACTATTACCCAAATCTTGGGTTATGTACGCTGCTAGATTTTCTATTCATTATGTGGCGGATACAACTTTAGGTTAAGCCTCGTTGGTTAATCATATTATGTGTCATTATTGGCAAGTGTTTGAATCATTTCAGGTGTCACAAGAATGTTTAAGAATGTTTTAGGTATAAACTTCCAAGAATGGAAAATACGGTTTTGTTTTTGCTACGGATAAAAAAAATTAAGGTTTCCTTATCATTTAAGATAGAGGAAAGATTCTTGATTTTTTTTAATGACAAAATTTATCTCCGGTTGGCCATCCGTTGATTCATTTCGTATTGTTGTGGGATTAGGAAGAGCAGAACAAATGACATCTCGCTGCAACCTTATCATTTCGTATTTTTTAAACTGTATTTTCTTTATATCTAAATGACATCTCGCTGCAACCTTTAGTTTAAAACTAATTTAAATTGTTAAGTTTACTGCTACTTTTATTTTTCTAATCAGAATGACAATTTCCATGAAGTTCAAGTCTTCAGAAGACATTATACCTCGCTTTTCTTGACAAACGCAGAAATTTTTGGCTGCATCCATTTTATTGTACCCAAATGGTATGGGGATAGATGGATGAATATATATATATATACAAGGTTTGAGGGTTTATGGCCAAAGTGGTGAACACCAATAACTCTATAATTCTATGATGTATTTTCTGCTCCTACAGCTTTTTCGATTATGATATTCAATTCAACAGGTTCAATTTAATCTTTATTTTTGTTCCTCTTATCATTAAAATAATTGAGTTGCTTAATGAGAAAGCCTAAGGCTTAAAAATTTACCTTTTAATCTCTATTTTTGTGATGTAGGTTTGTACTGTGAATGGAATACTGACGTTTGCAACCTCCAAGTTTTCTTAACAATGGATCCTCAACAAAGAAGAAAGTATCCTTGCATAACGATAGAAGCTTATGATAAGAGTACCAAATGACGTGAATTGTACAATGATATGACCATGGCCGAAAAGTGATTCATGGCTTCTTCCGCTAATTCTAGGCTCCAAATCCTCCCTCGACACTTAACTTCAGCAGCTTTTGCCTCTAAGTCTCGAATACTCAGCCAGTGGTAGAAGTACCAGACCTCCGGCGACCACCGGACCAGGTAAGAGCCCCATCCTACCCCACCACCACCCACCTCACCCCTGTCTTCTTTTCCCCTCTCTCTCTCCTGCTTTCTTCTTCTTCCCTGTTACTCACCTCCCCCCTTTTGCTTTCCAGATCTGCAACCCCCCCTTTTTTTAATATATATTTTCCTTTTTTTCTTCTCCTTTCTTTCTCTCTCCTATACCTCGTCTCTTCTACCCCTGTCCCCCTATTTTTTGACACACTGATCTAGCCTAACAGCGGTGACGGCTGAGACAATTTTTCGGCGAGCTTCGGGCAGGAACTTCCAAAATATAGCTGTTGTGAACAACGCCTTTCTTGGCACTCGTTGTGACTTCAGGTTCTATTGTTCTTGCTTCGAATTTACTATTCTACTCGCGGGAGTTGGTACCTTCCGTTTTTCAGTTTTCTTTGTTGTGTGAGTTAAATTGTTGTCATCTTACTTCGTATTAGTTTATTCACCGTATTAGTGTGCATGTTGTTGCAACTTGTCTTCTTTTGGTTTGGTCTGTTACCATGTGTGTGATAGCGATTCCCCTTACTCTGACGTAGGTATAGTGGCTGTGATCTGGGATGGTCGAGTGAGGTCATGTTCTCGGGAGGAACGGGGGTGGAGCGGGAGGTAGGGCAGGGTTTAGGGGGTGGGTCTGGAGGCAAGGGAGGTAAATGGAACAATGGTGTATGTAGGTTGAGAATTGGGTCATGGATCATAGGTACATTGACGGGTAAATCTACAGAGTTGGCGAAGATCCTCCAGAAGAAGAGGGTCAATATAGCGTGTGTCTAGGAGACAAGGTGAGTAGGGTCGAGGGCAAGGGACGCAGACGGGTATAAACTTTGGTACTCAGGAGTCCATAAAGGTAAGAATGGAGTGAGCATCTTAGTGGATAGGTAACTTAGAGAGTCTGTGGTTGAGGTTAGACGAGTGAATGTTAGATTGATGATTATTAAGTTGGTGGTTGGAGAGTGCACCCTAAACGTCGTTAGCGCCTATGCGCCGCATGTGGGCCTAGATGAGGAGGTTAAACGGCGCTTCTAGGAAGGATTAGATGAGATCGTGCGCTAGGTTCCCCTGTTGAGAAGTTATTCATATGAGGGGATTTCAATGGGCATATTGGGTCGACCTCGGGTGGATATGGCGAGGTGCACGGAGGCTTCGATTTTGGGGAGAGGAACGGAGGAGGTACATCGTTGTTGGACTTCGCTAAGGCTTTTGGGTTGGTGATTGCGAACTCTAGCTTTCAGAAGAGGGAGGGGCATTTGGTTACTTTTCAAAATGCGGTGGTGAAGACTCAGATTGACTATCTCCTCCCCAGGAGGTGTGATAGAGGGTTGTGCAAGAATTGCAAGGTGATTCCGGATGAGATACTCGCGACGCAGCATAGGCTTTTGGTGATGGACGTTGGTATTATGTTAAAGAAGAGGAAAACGTCTACTTGAGGAAGACCGAGAATCATGTGGGGAGCCTTAACTAAGATAAAGCCCAAGCATTGGAGGGGCGGTTGTCGGCTATGGGAGCTTGGAGGAGTAGTGGTGACGCGAGTACTATGTGGTCAGCGACAACAAACTGTATTAGGGAGGCTGCGAGAGAGATGTTAGGGGTCTCGACGGGCATCTCTAGTGGGCACAGAGGAGACTGGTGGTGGAATGAAGTGGTCCAAGGTAAAGTGGAAGCAAAGAAGGCGGCGTACCTGAAGTTAGTGGGGAGCATAGGTGAGGAGGGGAGGCGAGCGTGCATGGAGAGGTATAAGGCATCTAGGAAGGAGGCTAAGTTGGCGGTCACAGAGGCTAAGACTGTGGCTTATGATCGTATGTACGAGGAATTGGGGAAAAAAGGTGGGGAGAAGAAGTTATTCCGGCTGGCCAAGTTGAGAGAGAGTAAGGCTCGAGATTTGGACCAAGTGAGATGCATCAAGGACGAAGATGGTAGAATATTGATGGAAAATGCTCGGATTAAGAGGAGATGACACACTTACTTTTATAAACTTCTGAATGAAGAAGGGGATCGGAATATTGTACTAGGCGAATTGGAGCATTCCGAGAGTCACTGTGACTTTGGGTACTGCAGGTGTATCGAGGTTGAGGAGGTCGTGAGAGCTATGCGTAAGATGAGTAGGGACAGAGCGACCGGGCCAGATGAGATTCCGGTGGAATTTTGGAAGTGTGTGGGGAGA